TGGATGTAGGCGAGATTCTTGTGGTCTGTCCAGACCAGGAATGACTGCTTGCTGCCCTCGAGCCAGTGTCTCCACTCCTCTAACGCCAACTTTACTCCCAGAAGCTCCCTGTTTCCAACATCATAATTGCACTCAGCAGGAGAGAGGCGGCGTGAAAAGAAGGCACAAGGATGGAGGATGTTATTAGGACCAGCTGTTTGCGACAAGACAGCACCCACCCCAGTGTCTGACGCATCAACCTCCACAACAAACTGCTTCTCAGGGTCTGGCTGGATGAGGATGGGAGCAGAGGTGAACAGGGACTTGAGTTTGCGAAAAGCCTCATTAGCTTCAGGGGTCCAGAAGAACTTAATGTTGACAGAGGTGAGTCTTGAGAGGGGTGCAGCAACCTTACTGAAGTTCCTGATGAAGCGGCGGTAAAAGTTGGCGAAGCCCAGAAACCTCTGAAGCTCCCTTCTCGTAGTAGGGGTTGGCCACTCCACCACAGCCTTGATCTTTCCAGGATCTGCCTCCACTCTGCCTTGCCTGATGATATAGCCCAGGAAGCTGATCCGGTTCTGGTGGAACTCACACTTCTCAGCCTTGACATAGAGCTTGTTCTCCAGCAGTCTCTGAAGCACCAGGCGGACATGGTTCTCGTGTTCCTCCTGGTTCTTGGAGAAAATCAGGATGTCGTCTAAGTACACAAAGACAAAGCGGTTAAGGAAATCATGCAGGACATCGTTGACCAGAGCCTGAAATACTGCTGGAGCGTTAGTGAGACCAAAAGGCATGACAAGGTACTCAAAGTGACCTAAGGGAGTGTTGAAAGCCGTCTTCCATTCATCCCTTTGACGGATACGGATCAGGTGATAGGCGTTCCTGAGGTCTAGCTTGGTAAACAGGGTTGCCTCATGGAGAGGTTCAAAAGCAGAGGTGAGAAGGGGTAATGGGTACTTGTTCTTAACAGTGATGTTGTTTAACCCACGAAAGTCAATGCAAGGTCGCAGTGACTTATCCTTCTTACCAACGAAGAAGAACCCGGCACCCACGGGGGAGGAGGAAGGACGAATAATCCCAGCAGCCACTGAGTTAGTGATATATAGCTCCATAGCCTCCTTCTCCGGGTGGGACAGGTTGTAGAGGAGGCTGGTGGGTAGAGGAGCCCCAGGAAACAGATCGATGGAGCAGTCGTAGGGCCGGTGAGGAGGAAGGGAGAGAGCCCTCTCCTTGCTGAAGACCAATCTCAGGTCGTGGTAGGTCGTAGGGACTCCAGTTAAGTCTACAGAAGCGGCAGAGCAAAAGGCAGAGTTTGGGGAGACAGAGACAGGAGGCACGGCAGAATACAGGCAGTTAGCGAGACAGTTCTGATCCCATTCAATGATCTCTCCCTTAGCCCAATCAATGTGTGGGTTGTGGGTGCGAAGCCACGGATAACCCAATACCAGAGGTGTGGAAGGTGCAGAGATTACCTTTAATTGGATGAGCTCTCTGTGGTTGCCGGAGGTGATCAATGTCAAAGGAGCTGACTGTTCCGTCACTGAGGAAATGATTTGCTCATTAAGTGCATAGGCTGTTAGAGGTTCATCTAAAGGCTCCAGACAGAGTCCCAGCTGTTCAGCTAGCTCACGGTCCAAAAAACTATCCTCAGCTCCAGAATCAATGAGGGCTTGTAGAGGCAAAGTCATAGTGTTAACACAAGATTTTGGCAGGTATTAGAAAACGACTCAAGGAAGGGGGTAAAGACGATGGCTGTGAACTCGTCAGGACCCCCAATCTCACTGACGAGCCTCCACGTTTGGGGCGTACTCCTCCGGAGAGAGTCTAGCACGCCCCAGTTGCATAGCCTCCTCGTGAGAAGAAGTGCGCACGCTGGGCGGCGAGAAAACGGAGGGAGACTTAAACACTGAGGGGACAGGGTAGGCGGAAAAACTGGGCTTACTGTGTGAGACTGGTGGATTCCGCTGTGTCCGCTCAGCTCGGCGCTCCCGCAAACGACAGTCTAGGCGGGACACCAAGGAAATCAGATCTGGGAGATCCGCTGGAACGTCTCGTGCTGCCAATTCATCCCGGAGCTGATCCTTTAATCCTCTCAAAAACACCGCCTTGAGAGCCGCCTCATCCCAACGAGCCTCTGCAGCGAGTGTGTGAAACTCGATGGAATACTCAACTACAGTGCGGTTTCCTTGTTGTAAACTGAGCAGCTGACTCTCGGCGGAGCCAGAATAATTGGGATGATCAAAAACAGCAGAAAAACGATCTGAGAAGCATTCAAAACGCAGAGAGTCATAATTCACTGAAGAGCTCAAAGCCTCTGCCCAGGTTAAAGTCTTGCCACGGAGCAAACCCAGAACGTAATTAATCCTGGTAACATCAGCGGCAAACGAAACAGGACGCTGGCGAAAAACCTTGTTGCACTGAAAAAGAAATCCTCTGCATCTTTCTACCTCTCCGTGGAATGGCTCAGGGTTGGTGATGGGGAAATCCTGGCGTGGAGTAGGAAAAATAGCTGGATTGGGAGTGGCATGAGAAGCTGCAGCCGAGGTAGTTAGAGCTGAGATCTGGCAAGCTAACTCAGAGACATGATGAGCCATGGATTGATTGCTCTCTACTAACGCCCGAATAAGCTGGTCGTGTTGACCCAGAAGGGAACCCTGACTAGACAGGGCATGATGGACTGTGGCGGGATCCGCTCCAGTGCCTGCGGGGTTCATTATTGTCCAGTTCTTCTGTTAGGTTTCCCGAGAAGTGACTGGAGATGAGAACCCGCTATGCAAGCACTACAACTGAGACTGTGGTGAAGTGTCAAAAAGGCTTTATTTTGTCCACGACACTGACCAGGAGTTGACGAAGCACACGTAGAGGGAAGACGTAGAGCTGGGCTGCTCTGGAGGGGAGGCTGGACGTGGCAGGCAGAGCGGCTGGAGTATGTGGATCTGGAACAGGAAAAACAAGCAGGATTAGGAAATGATCTCCCTTCACTAGGAGCATCAAAAAAGTCACTAGGAAAAAACACTAGTAGGCCTGGACGATAGTTTACCACTGAAGAATAAACGAAGAACTGGCGAAGTCTGAAGATGGGAACCAGGGTTTTAAGCAGGTGCAGGTGAGTAGTGGCAATCAGTGAGATGAGCAGCAGCTGAGGCGGTGAGTTGGCGGGAATCGGAATGTAGGTAACCACGCCCAGCCAGGGAGACAGACACATAGACAAACAGACAAAACAAACACAGACAGGGGGAAAAAGAAGGAGGAAGTACTGCAGATCCTCACAGACACGTTGCTTCACCATGAGCAGAAACCTTTATATATACAGTCTATGGCAGAAACTCTGAAACTCTTGTTAAGTTTCTCCATCGTTGTGTACAAACTGGATAAAACGCGGGCTTTTTGTTGTTGTTCAGGAGTTGATCTGTCTCTGCCCCTGCCCCCGCCTCGACGTAAGCGTGACGTATGTGGTGCTTTTGCTCTGGCCGGACAATTTTTTGGTGCTTGAAACGAACCGGATTCCGGAGCTAAGAGGCTGCTCCGCTGCGGTGTGAAGAGGAAAACCCGGTGCTTTTCAAGCTCCAGCTCCGAACCGGCCCTGAAACACCGTTGGTGTGAATGAGGTAAAAGAAGTCTTGCATTTCGCATGTGATGTTTCTAAAGTTCCAAGTAAAGTCGTCCGATGCCTTCCATTTCGTTTAGTAAGAGGATAACCAAAGCGAACAGCTCTTCAATACAATCGGCCATTGTTGTTGTTGTCGATGTGAGGGATATCCGCGCGGTTTGGATTGTATGAAGCAGGCACGTCATGACGCAGCAGCCGCAGCTCTGGGCGGTGTGAACAGAGCGGGGGCAGAAAAGGGAAACCGGAGCTGAACAGAAAAGCTCCCGCTCGGAGCTAGAAAGGGAAAAGCGTAGGTGTGAAAGCCGCAACAGAAGAGGGAAGAGGCTGTGTGAATTACTTTACATTGTGGATAAGGGTGGATAGCCCCCATTGTTCTGTGTGTCAAAATGAAAGACAGCCCACACACCTATCAATCATCAAACCGTGGGGTCTTATTTCATTACGTGTTGATTTATATCAACACGTAATGTTGTATCGATGTATATAGAGATGTACTACCGTCGGGACTTCCTGCAACAACATCACGCCGTTATCGTGATTCTGATTGGCCAGAAGACATTATCAAAGATGTTCTATTGAGAAGACGATCACTACATGACAAAAGTTTTCAAAACCGTTTCTAGTCTTCGGTATTTCCAGACAAGTGGCAACTGAAATCAATCGTACTAACTGCTGTCTGTGCAATTTACTCCGCGCGAGTTGGCGGACTTTATTTTGCTTAATTTAACATCATTTTTCATGGTGGGGCTAAACCATTTATTGGTATGGCTGTAGCCTACCCCAGCCATACCCTGGCGCCGACACCGAGTATAGGCTACTGTATTTGTGATGTCTGTTTATAATTGTCCAGCTCTATGGATGTATCCAAACTGGAATGGGAGTCAAAGAGCTCCATTGCATCTCAGTATGAAGATAGTTCCAAACCGTTCTAAAAGGCTCTAGTTTTCAGTTTAGTTGTTTAGGGTCCACGGATTTTATGTAGGTTGGGTTTCTACTTCCCAACTTTGCTAGCATGAATATGGTATTTTATCTAAGACAAGAAGATGTTTAACATTTCTTTAGTTCAGCTTTCCATCATCTAAAAATTAGAGTTGATTGAACTTTGTAGACTTTGAAATAAATTAAGATCATAGCACAAAGTCCTGTGTGACTGTTGCACAAGCTCCGTATTTCATCATTTGTCGATGTGAATAATTTTCTGTACTGCTTTGGTAGAGACAGAATAAAAAGAAAAACAAAATACGTTAGTTATAAAAATCATGATACAAGTCTCTAAAATAAAATCTCTCTCAAATAACATACGGTGTAGTGCTGAGAGGGGATTACATTTATCTGACCAATTAGATGCTTATACCGTAATGTAAAAGGCTAGAAATAATTATACATTTTAAGAGACAAAATAAAACAACCATTTTTTTTCTTGATGAATTTACTACAAAATCTTCACATTTATGATTGACATTTCACATAGAAAACAATATTTTTATACACTGCAATTTATGCAAGTCATCTGATTGCACTACTCAGTTGGGACAACAATTCCCGTCTGGCCAGTAAATACAAACAATGATGTTACTTTTACAAGAACAGTATATATAAACATAACGAGTGGGGAAAAAGTGACATTTCCCCCCACTGGTGCAGTAAATCCATGACTATCACATACAGCTTAAATCACTGTAGCATTTCATAGCAAACAGTTCTATAAGTGAGTGTCTTTAACGCGGTTAGATAGAGAGGGAGAAGAGCCCGTCATGATGTCACTTCCTGCTTCCAGCTGCCATCACACTGAGAATTTACGTGGCTGTGTGGAGGAAGAAGAGTGTCTGTCCGGTAGAAAAAGAGTGTATCTCATAAAAAACATATCGGGGGGGGGCGGGGGGGATTCCAAAGATCTAACAGGGTCTTCTCCATCTACTGCTTCTTCTTCTTTGCTGGTTTAATGGGGGTAATCTCTTCCTCCTCGTCTTCATCGTCATCCTCGTCATCAGACATGTTATCCGACTCCTCAACCTCTGAAGCTGCAAAAGAGCAGAGGGCGAAGTTAAATCACTATTTTGATAAACTATGAAACTCAAAATTATTTATCTGCCCTTTTAGTTGACCTCATGCACAGTATGCAGCTACACACACTTATTACAACAAGTAATTCATTTTAAATCAGTTACAATCTAACCTTTAAACATTACTGGAATTATATTACACGCCTTAAATATTGATCGGAAAGATAGAGGTAAAAATATTTCAGAAATAGGTTTACACATACAGGGAATTTGTCTTGGTGTACATTGTGCATACATAAACACAGTTAAAGAAGATCAAATGTAAGAAAAAAAACAACCAACAAATCAAATAAAAAACGATTGAAACTATTATACGTTTAAGATATAGATTATTTTTAACATGACAAATCTGGATATACTAAAGAACTACGTGCCGTTTACTGTTGCGAAGTAATAGGAATCATAAAATCAAATCTGTGCAGTATTGCTATGGAGGTGGATGAGAGATAGCTTATGTATAAATGTGCTAAATATTTGGAGGGTTGTGCAGAACAGGCAATACTAAAATTCAAATAATTCATGACGGTTCCTAATGTAATATTAATCAAATTCTGTTACATTTTGATCTAATATTAACATGCACAGACAGCAGAGATATTGACAGCTTTTTAAAAGTATGGGAGTGTTAAAAGTAGGGGTGCACCGAATGGGAACTTCTTGGCCGAAACCGAAACCGAAAATAGGAAACAGTTGGCCGAAAACCGAATGCCGAAAATGATTAATAGAAATATATATATATATATAATGTATACATTTTTTACCAATGTTGTTCAGCTACCTGATTATGGAAATAGACATGATTATGGCAAAACTTAACTTAAATAATAATCACTATTATGGGTCCATAAAACATTTATTCAGCACTTTTGAATGCATACAGTACATTTATATATGTCATGTATTATTGCTAAAAAACATTATATCGCAGTCTTAGTGTCGCCAACTCGTTTCTAATATGCAAAGACAACAAATGCGTCTATGATGTATTTTCGATCAGACGAGATCTCTCTCCCCCGTCTGTGTGCGAGGGGGCGGGGCAGTTTACACACACGCAGCTGCTACATGCAGCGGAGCACACTGCGGAGATGGCGGAGAGAACGCGCTCCGAGGTGTGGTTCAACTTTACCAGTCTCGATGTGGAGAATACTTGTTACCATAAGTGCAATAAGAGTTTAGCATGTAAGCACGAGCAATTTGTCTAAACATTTAGCAAAAGTGCACCGCATGCAGACGGAGGAATGCACCGGGTTCGACCGTCTTTCTAGTTGGCGATTTTTTGCGAGCAACGCGACCAACAACCAATCACATGAATCTCCCGCCCCCGGCATACAAAGCAATAGCAATGTTAAAACGAAGTAAACTGGATATAAAATCCCCAAACAGGCGAAAACCTACCAGTTTCACCCACTGTCTCTGCCACCTCCCTCCATGCCTCGCTCCTCCGGTTTGTATCCCGGTAGATGAACAGAGACTGATCATACAGCACCGGGTGATTCACTACCGCTATAATGAATTTTCCCTCCATTTTTTGGAATATGAGGAAATGACCTGCGTAGTCTCTCCCAGCATACACGCGGTTTGATTGGCTAGCTTGTACTGGCAGATTTGCATAAACGGAATTTCATTGGCTGACGCCAGCTTCGAGCAAGCATCGAGCCTCAAAAGTTGAACATTGTTCAACTTTTGACGCCGATAGACGCTTGCGATGCTTGCAACGCCTTGCCATGCTACCCACAATGCAGTTCGGCGAAGTTTGAAAATATCCTACGTCACCCCATTCAAATGAATGGGTGAAGCGTTGAAAGCATTTTTTGACGCCTGTAGTGTAGACGGGCCGTAACTTTTCCACGTCAGGTGTTATGTATGCTAGCAGCAACACACGGAGTTAACTACATTATACAAACATGGGTTAATGATTAGAGGAAACTGAGTTATTTAGTTTGTTAACATTTCAGCTATTCTGTTTACAGTCTGTCATCAGATTATTTAATACGATTTGTTAAAGGCTCAGGGCAATCTCGATGACAAAGGTCAATGTTCCCCCCCCCTGTGAGCCAGCCGCGAGCATGGTCGCCGCGTCTTTATTACGTCATCACAACAACACGTTAGGTTACCAACGTAAGCCTGTTCTGACATTCGGTGATATTTTTTCGGTGCTAAAACCCTTTCGGCCGAAAGCCGAAAGGGCCTTTTTAACCATTTTCGGCCGATAATTTTCGGTGGCCGAATATTCGGTGCATCCCTAGTTAAAAGAGAAGATTAGTAGTTACCTATGAGGTGTAACCCGCTGACAGTAACTGGTCCGGTCCCAGCCTTCAGCCGAATGGTCACTGGGGCTTTCAGCTCAAACTCTCCCAGACTCACCTGAGGAAAAGAAGGTCAAAGTTGAGAAACATCTCTACCATGTAAAAACAGATGGTCTAAAACATTGGTGTTTTAAAAAGGTTTCTTTTGGATTCACCAAAGTCACACAACAACACACAAAATAACTGATTGAGGCAGTGATAGACCAGTAACATCTGTATTCTGCAAGATACAATTACATCTTTTTAGCAATGGAATCTGGTGGCTTTTAATTAGGGATGCACGATATTGGTTTTTTGAAACCGATACCGATAACTTCCTGCTTCTCAAGACCGATACCAACAATCTTTTTACGCCACTAATTATTTTAACGCATGTGTATTTTTTTTCATCGCCCGCCCCGTAGTTTCAGAGCGCATCGAGTTTAAAATACCATCTACAAGCTGATGCTGACAGCCCCGCTCCTGCCGCCCGCTTGTGGCAGACCACACTTCCATGCTCACCGGCAGGCACCGACTGGCCATCTGGAGGACCGGGAGGGTGTGTGTATGTGTGGCCCGAGCGAGCGAGAGAGAGACCTTACGTGCATTGTTGTTGTTAGCATCTGGTGCTAGCTAGCTGCGCTAACGGATATAAGGAGTTGTTTAAATGAAAACAGAGGAGCGACATTTCGCCACAACTGCGCCGAGCACTTGACTTTATGCAGGCAGCCAGACAGTGGGATATTGTACGAAAAGACAGCACACTCAGCACGGATAGTGCGCAACATGATTGCAGCGTCCAGGCAGCTCCGGTTCGAGCATATGCCTTGAGTTGCACATAGCTCCAACGCCCATACCACCGACGACATGTTTGTTTACTGTCCTGGCTTCACGGCCGCACACCATTTACGTCACAGCCAGGCATGAGTTAGGGAGCGCTGGATTTGTGAAGAACTCCCCTCTTCCTAAACCACTAATACCACAGTACTGGCAAAACGGGAGGAGCCGAGTAAAAAAACAAGCGCCCCTCATCCCAATCCACCCACACCGCAGTATTTTTTTCTTACCCAAAAAATATATTGTATATTATCGGGGCTATTAATACTGGTATCGGGTTTATCGGGATGACGTCATAATTCCTAATATCGGACCGATAATTATCGTGCATCCCTACTTTTAATATAGATATATGGCTTCAGTTCCCCATCTGACGACAAGGTAAAGGGGGGGAAATCATCTAAATATATAGATATAGATTTTTTTTAATTGGCTGGAATATATTTTGATGAAATCCCATCAACACATCAGTACATTTCTTTGCTTGAGTGCTGTCATTCTCCCCTGCTAACTGCTGGTGTGCAGACCAACATCTACTCACTACAAACATCTTAACTATCCCTTTGTTGTTACATGTAAATAAATGGCCAACTGTACCATGGGCAGGCAGCTGATGTGGAGGTTGGCGATGGGCACTGACACAGTCTTTCCTTGGTGGTTCATGGCCGTCACCTCCACCACATTACTCTCCTCCTTTGCACCCTCTCCCAGACAAATCTGTCACAATAAAACAAATAATTCAGGTTATATTCATTCAAATCTTAAGTAGCCAGTATGGTTTCACAGCCTTAGATACAAACTTTTATGTGGTGAGTCTGGTTATACCAAAGAATTGTACATACTGTTCTGAGTTCAAGGAAATGCTCCAGGTCCTCTTCTTCATCTCCTTGGAAAGTGTAGAAAGGCACTTTAGAGGACAGCTCACAGCCTGGAAGACACGTAAAGAAAAGGATGATTTAGTAACAGTTTTAATGATTTCATGCAAGCGCGTGTAGTGGCTGAAATAAAGACGTATTAAAGCGCGATGTTCAGTCACAGGTGAGACCCACGTGTGCGCCAGCAGAGAAGAAAGTGGATTTAAAAGGACTCACTGAACAGGAAGCTCTCCAGCTTGGATTGACCGGCTGGTCCGTGGTCTGTCGTGCAGTCCTCGTCGTGGCAAGACATTTTGTCTGAGCACAAAAATTACGTTTGCTGTGAAAACTTTATCGCGAAATGAACACTGCACTAGAGAAACAAGCGTGTCGCAGACTACTAGACTCATGGATGTATACTGCGTGACGCGTCATAACTGTGCGCCGTTGCTCGGTCAGGTTTTTTCCCCCTCCTCCAGAACAACAGGAATGTATTTGAGATGCCGATGCTAACATACGTGAAATGTTACCAAGTAAAATATATCCACTGTAATAGAAAATAACAATTAAGTAATCACACCTAAATACTTGCTTTGCCGGAAATTAGTTATTCATAAATAGAAACACATTTGTTATTTGGAATGTTTTTCTAAGACAATTTAAATTCATTAACCTCATTTGTATGTAATTTGCAAAATAACTCAATTTAGTTAGTGTACATACATTATTTCCCACAATACATAAATACACAAAAGATAATGTTAAATAGGATTTGTTTCAGGAGTAAGGTTAACTACTAGTTGGGGTAGTTTATAATCACACAAATCCATGCTTGTCAAGGTTTATGTTCATACCACTTTGTAATAAAACCCTAACAGGGATATTAAACCTGATATTTATTTTCTGGCTAATAATGCCAAACATGTATTTACAGACATAACTTTTTTTGTCAAAATTGATAAGAGCCCGACTCAGTCCAGACATGCAAGCAGAACGATGTGTCCGATACAAATGACAAAGAAACAAAGGAACTTATTATGGTTTATTAGTTTTGAATCTTATGTATCTTACATACAAATTTTACATTGGTAAACAGACACTTTTATGAAAACCCTAAACTCAGATAATCAAAATGTACATAAGGAGCCCTTTCCCCTCAGTAACAGCCCTGTTCTATCAAAACCTGAAGGCAGAGAAGAAAGCGCGAGCATCGAACAACTGCAAAATAAACATTTTAAAACAGGAGGGAAAATTCTTCTGTTGTTTCAGAAGACAAAGAGCAGACCTGTTGGTGAGTTTCACATCTGATGGCTTTACAGGACAGGGCGATGGAACAAGGCCAGCGCTTTGGTTTCCTTAAAGGACAACAGAAAGTGAGCCCCCATTTCAATAAAGATATACAAAATAATAACACTTTATGATTGACAGTGTTTACAGACTGTCTACGGACTACAGTATCATGCTCAGAGGGGAGTGGCATGCTTCTTCCTCCATAAAGCACAACATGAGGATATTCTAATGACCGCCATGGCAAATCCAAATACACCTCATGCACATTATAAATGTACGCAGTATCAAAACATCACATTGGCAGGCAGCTACTGAAGAGCAACTGATGATCCTCATGAAACCAACAGAACACCCCTATCTATATTCCAAGTGCTTTTTTTTTTTTTTAAACCACACAAGATTTACAAAAACAAATGGGAAACGAGTCAGAATATAAAACATTCATTGGATGGATAGGAAATGTCGGCGTTGAGTCCCAAAATCCACAGCTCAACAGTGTGAGAGTTGGTGCCACTCTGGTGACAGCATACCGCTCACTAAGACATTCATTTGAGAGTATGCAGGGAGGGATGAAAGCTGACATCATTCATTATTGTCCATTATTAATGACCAGTTGAAGAGAACTGTTGCAGCATGTCTCTTGAACATAGTCCGGATCAGCTGCTGCTTTTAAGTCAGGTTTGAACTTAGTGGTTAAGAAAATAAAACTGAGTAGCTTAATGAGAGTGGGAGGGAAAACACCTTCAAGTCAATGGGGTCACATTTTAACTAATGTATTTCAATGTGAATGCCAGTTAAAAGTTGTGTTTTTCTTTATAATAGCAGATCAGAATATTACGATTTTGGTCCAACAGGGTACTGCTATCAAAAAAAAAAATGCTGATTTGAGTAAAGTTTCATCAAATGTGAGTACTGGAATTTGAGCACGGCCAATATCCTAAAATCAGCCTTCTATATCTGACTGATACCTTTTTAGAAAGCCTAAAACAGAAGACACTGTTTTCTGCAATATTAACCTAAAATCCAAAGGCAATGAACCAGAAGGCAATAGCTTAAAGGGAAATAAGCAAAAACGAAATCATTATATAACAAAATGGCCACAAGCAAAGCGCTGAACATAATTAGGCTGATGTTTCTAAACCTGTGGAGCTTTTGTTTTGCTCTCCCCATGTCCTTCAGTACTTCAACAGAAATTCAGAGGAACTCCTGGTTGAGTTTTTAACAATAGTAACAAATATACCTCTGGGATAATCATTCATAGAGGGTCTGATAAACCCCAAAAGCTATTATTTTCCAATGTTCCACCTATTGTGTGGGCAGATTTAGCATTTCTGATAAAAACAAACCACTTTAAAGGCCGCGCTTTCTCCAAGTCCATTGTGGAGCAACTGGAAATACCATGATGTGATGATGAAAGGCAAACTCTTGCACAACACCTCACATGCTGTGCAAAGGTGTCGTCCTGTTCACGTGGACAGCTGTGTAACTTTACTGTTTTAAAGCTGGGAAAACGGTGCAGGGGTAGTGAGACACTACCTGAGATACAGACCGCCCTCATTTCACAACTCTGCCTCCATTTCAGATACAAACACTTTGCATTAGGGAATGCGGGCAATATCCATGTAGTGACTACTTGGATTAAATCAGAAAAAGGCTTATGTTGGGAGTTTTCACTTCCTGCCTCCTGGAGGTATATGAGAAGTGGGACTCTGCAATCATTGCTGGAGTGCCACTCTTCCATGTTGGCTCAAATCAACTGATTACAGATCGCTCCTCTGCCTTTAGCTTCGGATCAGCTGATCAAACAGAGCCGTGACATTTAAGGGCAGCGTAGGGAATCTGTGTGTGCGACTGCTGTGCTTCTGTACACAAATCCTAAAAAGAGGTTTTACGAGGGCTAGCCCAAATGGTAATGAAGTATAAAAATCATCATGGACGTTTTTTTCTCTCATGAAGGCGGCAAACATGTTTGAGCCACGTAGTCTTGCTGCCTCTCTGTCAGTCTGTTATTTCAGCAGGATGTTTCTTCATAGGCTGCGTCCCATAATGATCACGTCTTTGGGAAAGCCCTCCATTTTGGCCACTTCAAAGCATCCCAGCTTACCGTAGAAGTCCAACATTCTCTTATCAGTCTCCCGGACATGACAGAACGCACCAAGGGACCCTGGAAGAAATAAAGATAACATCTTAGTCAATAACAAAAATCCCAAACTGGATCAAGACCTCTATCACAGAACGAAGAGATCATTTCCATCTGGGCTTTGATTATTTATATTTTTAAACCTTCAATCCATTTGAACACCATATGGATAAACTATGTTGGATACAATTCCTCTCAGAATTGTTTTTCTTTGTCAAATGCAAGATAAGCTGTTCTGACACCCTCTTACCACCATGGCTAATAACAACTCATACAGTATTTCCTTTCTGAAGCTACTACAAGTATAGGTGAAGAACATTACTTTAAAACTAAGGATGACCGCCACCTACCATTTGCCTTAAGAGAAGATAGAAGACATCCCATCATACTTTTGGCCACACTGGGGTCAGTGACCTTGGCATGAATGTCAACCTTGATGAGAGAGGGGAAGTTGGAGAGGAAAGTGTCTGGAAGACCCTCTTCCTCTTCGTGGAAACTCAGCATCATTTTCTACAGACAGAGAGGGACAATAGAACTCAACAATCGTATCCCCAGCGCTACAGATATTATGACAGTTATAAATATCCTACCTCAGCCTCTGAGAGATCCTTCTGACAGTCAGGTTTGAGGTATTTCTCCTGCATGAATGGAATCCAGCTCATCTTGCAATTTTTCACAAAGGGCTGGACGTCCACAGTGCCAAGAGCATAACCGCAGATCCCTTCATCATCCTCCAACACAAACCCGTAGTCTGAGCTCAATGACAGGAGACCTCCTACTAACCTGTGTGGACAAACAGCAAAGATTTAGTCAGTGATGTTGTTTTACACTGCCGGGGAAACTGGTGGTCTTCATGTTTTACCTGTCTCCTATGAGGTCAGGATCCTCCTCAGAGACCGGTTCATCTTCCATTCCTTCAGAGTACATTTCTTTACAGATTTGATAAATGGCAGTCTGCAAAAATGAAGATGGTTACAGTGGTTAGTTGAAGAAAAGATATATACAATACTAGCAATGCCCAGAAAATGTGTTTAAAGACATCTTGGAAATACATACATTGAGTTGCCATTACATTCAGCACATACATGCTGTGAATAGCAGTTGCGCACAACATTTGAGGGACGTTAAGTGCAAAGCAATCACAACTAGAACTAGGCCACTACTGCTGGGAACACTAGGACATGGCCAACATGATTTCTGTAACCATACATTTAGCTTTTGATATTGTTAACAGCTGATAACTATAGGTATTGAAGGTGCCGTACTTGGATTTTGGTAAAAAAAGAGAGGGAAAAGGGCACGACTAAAACACAAAAAAGTCTTACCTCATCCTTGGGAAAGTATGGCCTTATGGAATAGGTTTTGGAGGTTGGCAATGAAGGCGGAGGTTGGAAAAAAAGATCGTTTGCCGCTTCTATTGGCAACAATCTCTGTGGGTATCAAAAGAAACAGGTTCAGTTTGGGGCGATGTGCTGCTGTGGTTGACTGCCTCACTGTGCATTTGCTACAGTTGAGCCACTATCAAATCAAAAGGAACTACAGAACAGAGCAAAGCGCTTTGGATGACAAGTATAGTTAAAAAACACAATAGGAAGATATAAACTGACGTTTCTTCTTGATCTGACAGTGGACAACAAGAACAAACATCACACCTTTCTTATTTTTCCTAGTGGAACATAGCAACACAAGCACATACATATTTGCTTTTCAAATATAATAAAACAAGGCTGGTGTTTTGGTCTGGCTAAGGTGTTACTGCCTGAAGGAGATGCTCCTTTCCCTTTTGTAAGACATCGCAATAATTCGCTGCGCAGGACCCTCCTGTTGAGAAAAATAATGATGCTGGCGCAGAGAGGCAGAGAAAACTCCAGGATTGAAACCCAAATGAGGCAGATTGAGCTAACTGACAGATTGAGTGGCATATTAGTTGCCATTGTGAGTCTTGCTAGTCTCCAAGGATAGAGATACTTTAGTGTGTATTTGATCATGGAGTTTTCTCTTTGCAAACATTGCTTGCGTAC